TTATTTATTTGTGTGTACACTTATAAAGGTGTCTGTATAGTTCAGAAGACAGTGTCAGGTCTCCTGGAGCTGGAGGTACAGATGGTTATGAGCCACCCAGTGTGGTTGCTGGGAACTGAAATTGGGTCAAGGACTCTTAACTACTGAGTCATCTCTTCAGCCCCCATTTATTCCTATTTTACAGATAAAGCTACCAGTAATATATCTTCAACTATATGCCCATGGTAACAGAACTGGAGAGGACAGGGTTAGTTTGAACTTACTTCACCTGACTTCCAACTCCTGTTCTGCCATTTTTAGTTATTTGCTTTTGACAGGACTAGCCTCAAACACTCTTTGTAGCCAAGGAAGAGCCTGAAGTCCAGGTCCTCCTGCCTCTCCACCTAGGGCTTAGATGACAGGCATGGACCCTCGCACCGCTTCTGTTCTCCTACTGTGACTATAGTACATCACGTCTCCAGCTCTACTGGACCTGGAGCTGCACCAGGTGGTACAGGCCTGAGAGGGTTCCAGGTTCTTACCTGGACTACAGTGAGGGGTTCAAGGCTAAGATGACTTTAAAATATGGCTTTAGTGATAGAGCACTTGTCTAGCATTCACAGGGCCTTGTGTTCAGGCTCCAGTACCACAAATAAGAATGATAGTAAATTAAGTAAATGCTGTAGTTGAGGGCTCAGTTGGCAGAGCACTTGCCTAGCATGCACACAGTCCCTAGTCTGAGTCCTATCAGTGCAAACCCAGGCATGGTGGTGCCCATAAACTCAGGAGTAGAAGCAGAAGGATCAGAAGGTCAAGCCAGTAAAGGACTTGTGACACCGGGCCTGATGATATCTACATGATAGAAGGAAAGAACCGACTTCTGCAAATTGTCTTGGATGTCTACATGTATGCCACAATGCTTGAATGCACACACACACACACACACACACACACACACACACACACAATGTAATAACATGACAAGGTCATCTTTGGCTATATAGCTGGTTCAAGGCCAGCCTGGGCTACATGAGACCTTGTGTGTAAATAAGTCAGAGGACATAAATACTTAAATATTCTATCTGAAATGAAAGGAAGCAGTTAATACAATCTCAGCTAAGAGCAACCAAGTCTACCATCTTTCTCCTTTTTTCGGTTCTTCAGAAATATCTTTAAATGCATGCAGAAGTGAGGAAGAATCTTCTTGATGGGATCTTTCTTCCTTCATCACGTCAGTGTTACAGCACCGGCTTGCAGTAGTTTGCCCATAGCCCCAGTGCTACTAATTTCCACACTTCATTAATAAACAAATAGAGGCCCAAACCTATGGGATAGCTCTGTAGATCACTTGGAAGTTGAGAAGACATCTACCACAAACAAAAATCCCCAAATGCCTGATTGTAAACAGGAATCAAAATACCAAAACTTGCCAAATTCAAGTTTCTAAAGTGAGCCTCTGGATCCCTGCTTTGAGGAGATTTCAGATGTGAACAGCTTAAAGAGCTAGGGGACAGGTTTGGGGTTCTGTGCCAATGCGCACAAGAAAAATGATCTGCTATTGAACCATGAAACAAGTCTCAGAAACTTGGATGGTTTGGAACAGAAAGGATCAGGGAGTCAGAAGCACAAAATTTTCAGGGACTTAGATGGCATAAATTAAATTCTTACCTCGATTTCCCTATATGCTTAAATTGTGTTTTCCCCGATGAAAAGGCGAGAGAATGCAAAGCTGTAAGGGAGGAGCGAGGAAGCTGTAAGGGAGGAGCGAGGAAGCTGTAAGGGAGGAGCGAGGGAGGGGTAAGGGAGGAGCGAGGAAGCTGTAAGGGAGGAGGGAGGAAGGAGTCTGGCATGTTGGCTGCCACACACCTGTACCCAACACTTGGGAGGAGAGGCAGGAGAATTCAAGGTCATCCTTGGTTTGCAGAGCTTGAGGCCAGGCTGGGTCATACGAGACCTTGAGGGATAGTGGGAGATAGTGGGGAATAGTGGGGGATAGTGGGGGATAGTGGTGGATAGTGGGGGTATAGTGGAGGATAGTGGGGGATAGTGGGAGATAGTGGGGAATAGTGGGGGATAGTGGGGGATAGTGGGGGTATAGTAGGGGGATAGTGGGGGATAGTGGGGGTATAGTGGGGGTATAGTAGGGGGATAGTGGGGGATAGTGGGGGTATAGTGGGGGTATAGTAGGGGGATAGTGGGGTATAGTGGGGGATAGTGGGAGATAGTGGGGAATAGTGGGGGATAGTGGGGGATAGTGGTGGATAGTGGGGGTATAGTGGAGGATAGTGGGGGTATAGTAGGGGATAGTGGGGGTAGTGGGGGATAGTGGGGGTAGTGGGGGATAGTGGGGGATAGTGGGGGATAGTGGGGGTATAGTGGGGGATAGTAGGGGATAGTGGGGGATAGTGGGGGATAGTGGGGGATAGTGGGGGATAGTGGGGGGATAGTGGGGGTAGTGGGGGATAGTGGGGGGATAGTGGGGGATAGTGGGGGATAGTGAGGGATAGTGGGGGGATAGTAGGGGGATAGTGGGGGATAGTGGGGGATAGTGGGGGATAGTGGGGGGATAGTGGAGGGATAGTGGGGGGATAGTAGGGGGATAGTGGAGGATAGTGGGGGGATAGTGGAGGGATAGTGGAGGGATAGTGGGGGATAGTGGGGGATAGTGGGGGATAGTGGGGGTATAGTGGGGGATAGTGGTGGATAGTGGTGGATAGTGGGGATATAGTGGGGGATAGTGGGGGAAAGTGGGGGGATAGTGGTGGATAGTGGGGGTATAGTGGGGGATAGTGGGGGAAAGTGGGGGGATAGTGGGGGATAGTGGGGGATAGTGGGGGGATAGTGGAGGGATAGTGGAGGGATAGTGGGGGATAGTGAGGGATAGTGGGGGATAGTGGGGGGATAGTGGGGGTAGTGGGGGATAGTGGGGGATAGTGGGGGTAGTGGGGGATAGTGGGGGATAGTGGGGGGATAGTGAGGGATAGTGGGGGGATAGTGGGGGATAGTGGGGGGATAGTAGGGGGATAGTGAGGGATAGTGGGGTGTGAGCTGTTATAGAACTGATCAATATTTCAGCTTGCTTTTCATTTTAGTTTTGAGACAGGGTCTTACTTTGTAGCCCTGGCTGGCCTGGAACTTGCTATGTAGACCTGGTTGGCCTAGGACTCACAGATCTGCCAAATATTGCATTTTTAACCCAGAGTCTTCCTTTATGCAGTTTCATGGAAAGGATGAAAGGAGGATGAGCTATTGAAATATAACTGTGTCCTGAGATCTCCCCTGAGTGTTGCATGCACCATCTTTAGTATTCATGATAAAGCCATATGGTATATAATATTATCCCCACCTTCAGAGGACAGAGCAGAGTGAGGACAGAGATGCCCCTTGCCACATTGTCAGCCAAAAAGCCCTAGTCAAACCTGAGAGTCCTCAACTGTGGCTGGCTTCTACTCTATGGGGACCCAGTGTTCTTTCTAGCACTGTGGACTGCAGGACCAACAGGGCCACTATCTGCTGTGACATCACTAACCATCTTTGAAATAGACCAGGAAGGCTCCTGAACTATGAAAGCAGTAAACCTTCACCACAGATGTGTGGAGTTCAGCCAACTGGGTCTGAATCCTGTTTGTGTCACCTGGAAAGTCCCAGCCTTCTCATGCCAGGGTGTCTCAAGCCCACACAAAGTAGTGGCAGTGGTGAAATGAAGCGCTGTGTCTAAGTTCTCAGGACATGGCGATCTAACAATAAAAGGCACCCGATTGTGGCATTATTTTGAGCTTGTAAAACAGACCTGCACCCTTGAGATTACCTCAAAATGCCAAAGCCAAAGAGTTAGAGAGGGTGAAGCAGAAGAATGGACCCGGGTCTTAAAAGGAGAAAGAAAATGAAAGGAGAGAGGTTGGAAAGATTATGACACCCACTATAACAGGAATGGAGATCCAAACACACTATAGCTAAGCTATTGAGTCCACAGTTACAAGTATAAAGAAAACAACCATGTGTGCATGCACACACACACACACACACACACACTTTCTCCTGAGTGAAGACGGGAAGGAGAGTATTTATAATACTTTAAGTACATGTAACTCAGCGACTCTTGCTGGGAAAGGTCACTGAGCCTGGAGACCCTGCCTCAGAGCTGGCAGCTGCAGGTTCCCAAGAAGACAAGAGGGCTTCTTCCAGCCCGGGAGACTACATACACCAGGGCTGCTGAGCAAGCCATACCAGAGCAGGAGGTGGGGTGGAGGACACTGGGAAATCCCTAGAGTTGCAGAGACATCAGTGACCCTAGACTTTCCAGGCAGCCTCCACACTTTGCAACTTAAAGTATCATATCAAGCAAATTGAAAGGAAAAGTCTTGAATATATTTAGCAATGTCTGTTGATACCAAACACCACAGAGAGAATCGGCGAGTGCAGAGATCTGTTTCAAAGCCACCAGCTGCAGCTGAACACAAACCAAATCGGATCATCAAGTCAAGGACCAGAAGAGTGGGGGTGTGCGGGCTGACCTTGCCCTTGCTTGCCCTTTCACCTCTCGTCTGACCCAGGAGGGGTGGGAAGATGCTGGGATTTAAGCTATGCCCTGAACCTCAAGGCAGGGAAGCAAGCAGACACTCCCCCATCTCCAGTACGTGGGCGCTTCCCAAGCTGGCCCTTGGCTCCTGCGACCTCAAGCATTTCAACGCTCTAATATCCTCCTTTCTGGGCGGCAGGAAAGACTATCCTTCGCAGCAGCAGCCTCCGGCTCCCGGATCTGAGATTCCCTGATCGGCCCAGGCTCTTCCTGGCTTAGCTGCTTGTGATTTCCTGAGGAGCCTCCCGGTGCAGCCCAGCCCTGGAAGGTCCCCTCTTTTGTTTGTAGGGAGAACATCGCTGCTGTGCAACACTGGAAGCCGGTCTGTGGGGGCGCTTCCCCTGTCAGCTCACCCACGTTCCCCCCACCCCCGCACTAGGAGTCACCAGCTCCAGCACACGGGTCCTCATTGTCCCCACCCATTCCTTGCCCAAACACTTACTTCCCAGTCGCTCTGCTTTCCATGCTGTCTCCTCCACCGCCCCGTAGCGCCTCAGAGGCTTCTCAGCTTCCAGATGGACAGACAGAGATTGCTTTAATTCCATTGCTAATCCTCGTGAGCAGCCAAGGGTTCCTCTTTCACTCCATCCTTGCTGAAGGCAGCAGGGAGGAAGGCGGCTCCGGTTAGCAGCGTTTTAAGGGGCCCGGTGTTCCCGAGGAAGCGACTCCATCTCTTCAACTGCCAGCACCCTAAAGTGCCCAACTGGTACCCAGGATGGGGGAGGGATGCATAACACATGCGCAATGGAAGCTGGAGGGGGAGGTTTGGGGGCTGGGTAGGGAGAAAGAGGGACAGATGATAAACTCTCTAGAACAACAAAAACAAAAACAACTAAAATAAAATCATCTGCAGAGGAAGCAAGAATAAGGTACCTGCCCATATTGGAGCTAGTGGAGAGGCTTTGCGTGATTGGATATAGCTATTGCGAGAGGCTTGGGGTCTGTCAGAGGGCCGGTAGGTTTCAAGTGTGACTGGTGAGTCAGAATGTATCTGCAGATGATATGGCCTTCGTGAAGGATGTGGACCCCAGCTTGAGGGATCTGTGTTGTTCGCGTTTATGTACATGATTTACATATAAAGAAGAGCAGCAGACACTCACCGTGTGTGTGTGTGTGTGTGTGTGTATGTATGTGTGTACACCTGTGTCAATCCTGTGTATTTGTATGTACAGAAACAAAAGAGGCAAAAATATATTGGACATATGGCCGGCAAAGCTATTTGGAACACTGATCTTTACAAACCTGGAGAATAATCATAGAGACCAAACATGGTAGCATTAAAATATAGGGCCAGGACTGGCAATGGGGCTCAATTGGTACAGCATTCACAGCCCAAACATGAGGACCCACAGCTGAGCCCCAGAACCCACATTAAAAGAGGAGCAGGTGCAGCAGTGTATACTTCTAAGCTCAGCGCTGGGAGCAGAGACAGGAGGATTCCTAGGACTTCCTAAGACACCTTACACCAACTTCTGGCCTACACACACACACATATGTATATATACACACACATACATATACACAATGTGTATATTATATATGTATATATTGTGCATATGTTTATATGGTGTATATAAGTAAGTAAGGAATGAGAATGCAGTTCAGTGGGTAGAATGCTTGCCATAGCATGAGCAAAACCTTGGGTCCTATCCCCAGCATTGCAAAAGCCTAATGCATAAGTAGAAGTAGGTGGATCTGAAATCCAAAGTCATCTTTGGCTCTGTAAGGAGTTTGAGGACAGCCTAGACCATGCCTCAAATGAATGAATGAATAAATGTAATCAGCAAGCTAGGCTGATAAAAATCAATACTACTTATTGAATGATTGCTAAGCATAAAACACTTACCGATGTCTCTGTGGAAGCTAGCACTCCACTCCCCCTAATTTTACAGAAGACAGAACTGACATTCAGAGAGTTCACTTACCCAGACCCCCACATTTCTCAGGTACCAAATCAGCCCTTGAATCCAGAATATATGAATTTGGATTCCCCCTCTTATTGTTCTAATTTCCTTGACTGTGGTTATATTATATTTTTAATTGTTTGTTCCTCCATATATGTCTGTGTGGGGGTGTTGATCTCCTGGAACCGGAGTTACAGACAGTTGTGAGCTGCCATGTGGGTGCTGGGAACTGAACCTGGTTCCTCTGGAAGAGCAGCCAGTGCTCTTAACCCCTGAACCAACTCTCCAGCCCCTGTGGTTATATTTAAAGAACCTAAAAATGATATGATGTGCATAAGCTGGGGCTCATGTGGGGGAGGTGCATGTGAGCACAAGCCCTGCTCTCAGAGGCCAGAGGCGTTAGATCCCCTGGAGCTGAAATTACAGGCTACTGTGAACCATCAGGCATGGGTGCTGGGAACCAAACTCAGGTCATGCACACTCTTACCTGCCAAACTGTCTCTGCAGCACCTGAACTGCAGGTATATTTTGCATGGAGGGAGAGGAACAGACAAGGTTCTCTAGGTCAAGAGATGCTGGGATACTATTTGCTGGTTATTTTGCGATGTATCTGGGGACATTGGTATCTTTTTTTATGACTTGAAAGTGTAAAGCAGACAAATTTTTCAAGAAAATAATTCTGTCACTTAAAAAATTATCAACAGTGAACTCCTAAACAGCTTATGAGAGAAAAAGGAGCTAGCTTCAAAAAGTCCTAAAAAACTAAACCTAAATTATAATGCCAGGTTTTATTCTGTTTTGTTTGGGAGTTTGACTTGAGATAAGGTTTCACCATTTGGCCAATTCTGAGAGGTCCTAACCTAATTAGATAAAAAACATAAAGTAATATCTTATTTCCTTTATTACCAAGCATGAGAAATGAAACAAGGAAGTTGGAGTCTCTAGTTATGAGTACTAGCTGTTCTTGCAGAGGGCCAGGTGTAGGCAGTGGCCACTTGTTTGTTCCTGGCTGCCCAGAACCAAAATAATCACACAGAAACTATATAATTAAATCACTGCTTGGCTTATTAGCTCTAGTTTCTTATTGGCTAGCTCTTGCATCTTAAACCAACCCATTTCTTTAAATCTGTGCATTGCCAAGTGGCTGTGGCTTACCAGCAAGGTTCCATCCATCATCTGTCTCCAGTTGGGATACATGACTTCTCCCTGACTCCGCCTTCTTCCTCCCAGCATTCAGTTTAGTTTTTCTGCCTAACTCTACTCTGCCCTATCACAGGCCAAAGCAGTTTCTTTATTCATTAACCAATAAAAGCAAAACACATAAAGAAGGACTTCTCACATCAGACCCACGTTCCATTCCTAGAACCCACAAGACAACTCACAACAGCCTGCAACTCCAGTTCCAAGGTACCCAGTGTCCTCTTTTGGTTTACAAGGGTACTTCATGCATGTGTACAGATACACAGTAAGAACACCCATACACATAAAATAAAAATAAATCTTAAAAAACCCCAAAGAATTGATATAAGATTGGTGCCCACAAGGACAACTGCATCTACATAAAGCCTGAGAGAGCTTGGGAAGTTATTCTAGACAAAAAAGAGTAAAGCATGACTTGTTGATAGCAGCAATTTCTCAGGTGGGCTCTGTTTGCTAGAGGCAAATGTGTCTCATTTAAGAGAGGCTTCCTGACTCAGCTTTAGCTGCAAAACCTTGCAGCTCTTTTAAGAAGTCCTGCCATGAAACACTTAAATAGTGTGGATGAGAAGCTAACCACATGCTTTTTGGTTTTCAGCCATAGCAGGATAAAAGCCACGCCATTTTAAAATTCTGGCTTTCTGGGACGTCCTGCCTATGCAAACTCTGACTCATTCAGGCAAGAGGTCCAGCTATAGAGCATTTGAGTGTGGTTTGTGAGTAGACTGCTGCAGCTTGCTTGCTTGCAGGGACCTTGAAATGCCACAGAGTTGTAGCAATAAACAGGGCTACAGCTGGTACCTCTGCCATGAGGCTGGAATCTCAGAAAGCTAAAGAATGGGCTAGATCCAGCCGTCAAAGCCACGGCTTTAATCCTACCCATATTGCTTGGTAAATTAAAGACTCATGTGGTCAGAAAAAGAGAAAGATATACAGTTAAGGTAGATTCAAAGATGAAAAAAAATCTTTAAGTGGTCTACTATGTGTTTAAAAATATATATATGTAGGCTTGGGAGAAAAAAAGCATAAAGTCCTTAAAAGAAAAAAAAAGAGAATAGTTGGGTGTGGTAGCACACACCTTTAATCCCAGCACTTGGGAGGCAGAGGCAGGTGGATCTCTTTGAGTTCAAGGACATCCTGGTCTACTGAGGAAGTTCCAGGACAGCCAAAGATACACAGAGAACCTGTCTCAAAAATCCAAAAATTAAAAGTAAAAATAAAAGAAATAAAGTTTAAAATAAAGCCATATAAAGATGGAAAACACACAGAGAATCTGGATACTGTGTATTATTATGCTCTCTTTGAGTTGTTTGGATGCTGAGGAAGGAGCAGCTGCTAAAAGATATTTGTTTATAAATGCTGCTGAATTAATCCAACATAGGTATTTTGAAAATTCCTTGACTTCAAAATTGAAGTCAAAAGGTATGTTACTTTGGAGAAGAGGATTTGCTTTTGTTTCCACAGGAAATGAGAGGCTGTGGATTCATTTTGAGTTAAGAAAAATTAGGTTTGATCAAGGAAGACCACCTGAGAAATCTCCAGTAGGAACAGATGGCCCAAATGTCTGAATTCTACATCCAGAACAGATTCAAGACTGCTGCCTAAGATGATCAATACTCACAGGACTTGATCATAATTCTAAATTTTCTTTAGGTCCCCATAAGATTATCAGTGTCCCCAACCAGGAGGAAGTAGCCTGAAAAACTATGCCCACATTCCCAAAAAATGGACTATGGATATTTTCCTTTGTTTAGAATGTTGGTTACAAGTTGTTATGGCTAATGGTAAGGAGAAAAGCTAAACAAAGGGTATTAGATTCAGAGTTCTTGTTTTTTTTAAAAAAAAAAGAGGGGGAAGTGGTGTGGGACAATGGTCTGTATTCTGTCAATTATATTTTAAATAAACACTGATTGGCCAGTAGCAGGCAGAAAGTATAGATGGGACAACCAGACAGGAAGTAGAGTTGGATCAATGAGAAAAGGAGAATTCTGGGAAGAAGGAAGCAGATTCTTCAGTCCTGACCTGGCCACAGAGCAAGGAAGATATAACTGCCTCATGGAAAAAGGTACCAAGCCTTGTGGCTAACATAGACAAGAATAATGGTGATAAGAGTCAATAAGAATCCTGAGATAATGGGCCAACCAGTTTATAATTAATGTAGACCTCTGTGTGATTTCTTTGGGGCTTAATGATTGTGGGAACCAGGCAGGTCAGAAACCCCAACAACAATTGGGTGTGGTGGTACAGGTCAATAATCCCTGAGCTCAAAACTGACAAGATGGCTCAGTGGGTTAAAGTATCTGCTGCCAAGCATCATAACCCGAGTTTCAGTTCTGGGACTCCCATGATAGAAGGAAAGAACCAGCTGCTATAAATTGTCCTCTGACCTCTACATGGCATCTACTCCTGTCCAAACACACACACACACATACACACAATGAATAAATAAATGCAACAAAATGTAAGTATTTAATATATTTATATTTATTATAAAATAGTACTTATGTATATTAGAAATTAAATACATAATCAAATGTTTTTTAACTAAGAAAGCTGTTCTTTTATGCCACCTGGAAAGTTAACTGATTTTATGTCACATTATTAAGCAACATCTTTTAAAAAAT